CTATAACCTGAATATTACCAATTTGGGAGTTATATAGGAATGAAATAATGGGTGATGCAGAGAATATAGTTTAGCTAGATATAGTAGTTTCAAGATGCAGAAGTAGTATCAGATGCGAGTCTAATCTTTCACACTGGTGGATAGTTTAATAACAATGTCTTTCCAGAATATGAGATACCCTAACTGTTAGTGTTAGTTTAGGCATAGTATGCTGGTGGTATAACTAGGATATTTGGACACCTATTAAGGCAGTTGAGTAAATATCAGGTCGCTGATTAGGTTAGTATAGCCTAGCAATAAGTTGTAATATAATTCAAAAATTATGCATATATCTACGAATAGATCTAATAAAGGCTTTACTAGCTTTTTTAGCCAAGTTTAAAAAAAAAAAATACAAAAAAAAAGATTAATATTATAATTGATAGAACCTAACAGAAAAGATTATTATCTATATATATCTATATAAATATTAATTAATATATATCAGTCTATACAAATATATATAATATAACTCTTTCTAACAATCATTTAAACCAAGACTGCACCAAAACAGTTTAAAAATTCAAGGCTCTAAAAAGTTTAAAGATATCTGAGGTTCTTTATTGATACTGTTGTTGATGAAAACTTATATATAAAATATTAAGAAGTGGGCATATATAGTTGGTTTGTATTCTGGGTCAAGCTTTTCTTTTTGGTAGACTCCCTTGCATATTTGGCATCTAAGCCAAAAAGGTTATTTTGGTAATAGTAGTGGCAAAAAACTTCTGACTCAAGTGTCTAAAGCTTTTTAGTTCTACAAAGAACAATTAAAAACACTTTTATTGTCTTGAGCTTTTACAAATACAATATTTTTTCTCTTTAATGCTTTTGGCCATAATTTTCGATAAAAAGTGGAGAATTCAGCATACCCTCTCTAAAAGATCAGCAATGTTTACCACTTTCATATCAAGAAACCCTGCATGATGATAAACAACATGTATAAAATAGACGGTACTGGTGAATTTAATAACTAGATAAGTATTTAGAAGAATACCTTACGTATCATGTTGTTAAGGATATACAAACACGTGATCATTGGATAGAGCATGTGAGATTCTAAAATTCTTATACTTTCGGATGAAAATATAGATTTAATTGAAAAAATAAAGCAAAGTGAAAAGAGATATACAGGTATCCTTTAGTCATCTGTATATAATTTTTAGCTTCTAGCATAAGTTATAGTATATTTTATTTTAGTTTTAAATTTCTTGTCAAGACTCTTGCACTTAATAGTAGATCATGACTCTGTATAATTAGAAGTTTTCATTTGGTTAGCAGATTTTCTTCTTTTTAGCGATAGTTTCTTTTAGGTTTTTGTTTAGTTTTTTTTTATATTTCTTAGTATTAGTATCTGTTTTCTTTAATGTATTAATTTTTATTTTTTCTCTCTTTTTTTGTTTTTCATTATCACTTTTTTTTTCTTTTTTCTTTCTCTATGAGAAAGTGTTATTAGTTTGGTAACATTCTATTGTAGAGCAGGAATCTTGATGGAATAAGCAACAGCTAGCTGAGAAATTCAGGGGAAATAAGTCTGAAGTGAGTTCCGGATCTTTAGAGGAGGCTAAGTGTTGCTAGGCAGATTGTATCTGAGCAAAACACAACAGTTTAATGGTTCACCCTGACTGCAAGTGGATGTTACAGCATCTGCGAGATATGCTGTGGATGAGTTTAACTTTTAGTAAAAACACTTATAGATTTAGATTTCTTATATTGTGTAAGGATGAAAGTTTGTTCCCATAATAAAGTAAACAGGATTGCTAAAGGAAAAAAAAAATTAAAAAAAAATAATTAATAAAATTCGACTAATAAAAATTGCCTAATAAAATATATATAATCTAAATAATTTAACTAATAAAATTTGCTAATATAACAATGTAATGGCTTTATATAATAAACTTAATAAAGGATCACTAGCAAGGTTGCTAAAGTCAAAAAAAAAAAAAAACTAGCTAGCTGTGCAGTTTTCACTCTGTCATAATATTTTTAATTAAAATTCTGTAAAAACTATTTTAATAAATTAATAATAAATTATTATTTAAATAACTAAATAAATAAAATATATTATAAACTATATAAATAAACCAATAAAACTATAAAATATACAATAATAATATAAAATTATAATTTAAGAAAAATATTAATGAAAATTCGTCTATATTACAATATATATAGTATATATTTAAGTTAATTAAATTTTAGTATAAATTTACATATATACATATAAAATTTAGTATCGTATTAATTTAGTTGAATTATAAATACGTAATAACAATAAAAATCTCTAAAAACATGGTTTGTAATAACAATATACTGTATATTTAGTAATTTGTAAATTATTATATATATTATACGTATATTTGATACGTAGTAAAATAATTCTTAATAAAATATATAATACAATTTCAAAAACGCTTAGTCTAAGTTTTAATTTAAAAAAAATTATATAAATTATTTGATTTATTATAATATTTTTAATGCTTACTATATCGATATATTTCGTACGTACGTATGTACAGTACGTATTAATATTTTACTGTTACAGAAATTAATTTACTGGAGAATAAATAAAGAGTAGTTTGGGACAAAATGGTAGATAAATAATTAAGAGTAATGTTGTTCAATTGATGTACGTATAAAGTGTTGTATATATATACTAAATATTTGTAATATATAGAACAATAAAAAATGGAATTACTGTTTAAAAATAAAGCTTTGCCAAATTTTCACCAATAATTACTTGTTCTTTGACTAATTTGTAGACAGTCATGTTTAAATTGGTATAAATTAGCAAATCGAATGAAAGTCATCCGATGTGAACATGTCTTTATAACCGTTATATAAATTCATATATGTATGTTTTAAAAATTTGGTTTAAAAAATGCGTATCCGGTATAGATATTCACAAACCCCTTGCTTCGATGGACGGTTATACGTATTCATACCATAACCCTTGTTGGCTACTTTTAATCATATGCCTTCACAATAAAGACCGATTTGGTAATATGCATGAAATAATCAAGTTAGGTTACAAATAAAAATTGAAAAACACAGAGTTAAGGAATATCATTAATATCAATAGACGAATGATAAAGCTAAAAACTAAATTAAAAATTCGATGAACTTTTGCTAAAACAATGATAGCTCATTGTACTCAGAATATGTTATTTGCATCCATATAAACAATTGTAATACATAAAAATTCAGTTTGGAAATTTAATATGCGTTCCTCATAACAAAATTTATTAACCGGGTAGTGTTATTAAAAGAAACGTACGGACGTACTTATCTGTTATGTATGTACTTATGTACGTACGTACGTACGTATAAGCGTTTGCATTTTATTCTTGTTATATACTATATTATCACTAAGATTTTTGATTGGTAAATGTCTCTGATTACAGCATAAAATAGAGACATGTTTAGCCAATTTAATTATACACAATGAAATAAATAGGAATTAAATATAATAATAGATATTCTTTTTGTTTGTACGAAACAGTTTTTTTTAGAAAACAATCGCTTCATTCCGTTGCATACATGGCATTTTGTTGAATTCATATGGTTGGAGAATGACCTTCAAAAGTAATAAGTGAAGAATTAATATTTCCATTATAGACTTAGGGGTATTTGGAATTTGGAAACAAGATAAAATAGAGTATTTATCGTTTCAGCCAACTGCAATAAGTAACACGATAGAAAAGACGTTAAAATAACCAAAATAGCCAATGAAAAAACATCTAAAAATACAATTATGCACTATTAGTATTTATTAGTGGAACACAGTTTAAAAAAAAAACGAAAAGCCACGCGAACAACACATTTATCCATAACCAGAATGCAACAAAGTCCACGCATGTAAGCAAGAATAACTTGTTTTTCCATACTCTTTAGGTAAGTAAAACGTCATTGCACAACGTCGGCATGAAACTTTAGGAAAATCATGGGGAAGCGACCCGAATCATTCTAACGAATGCGCAGCAAAAGTTTAAACGAGTTTTTAACGGGTATATTTAGTTAGTAGCTAGTTAGTGGCATCTCCGAATCATACCGATGTCGATAGATTTAGGAATAGATTTAGGAACAAAGAGAAAAAAGGCGCCAATTGTTATTCGGTTAGTAGCCTTAAAGTAAATGATGCTATCACAGGTAAAGGTCAAGGCAGGATATACGTAGGTACGCACGTACTTGCGTTCGGATATTATGTTCAAATTTAATGATTATCCCATCGTTTATATATTTCTCCTTCATGTCTTTGTGTCAAAATTTTTTTAACAATGTAAATTGTTCTGTACTACTTTTCTATTGTTTGTGGCGTAGTCTACTAACAATCTTTATCTGAATATTTTTTGAATATATAATAAATGAAAATATTTAACTTTTAGTTATCATTTATGCGTTTTGGTTAATTATTATTATTATCGTTATATGCACGGTATTTATTCACATCTTAATCTAGACTCTAATCGTCAAGCGTGGAAAAAAAAGTTTCACACGCAAAGAGTTTAAAACTAGTTTTATACTAATAGATGATTTTTATTATATATACATAGAAAATATATTTACCGTAATTTACCGTAATATATATGATTTAATGGGCAAATCCTTTCCATACATATAAAAAAATAAATTTCCGTTGGTTTTTTATCTACTGATCTTTTTATTTTTGACGGGTTCAAATATTTAATTTATGAAAAGAACATTTTTTTTTTTATTCAAACATCTCCTAATTCGTTAAAATCTTTTGTACCCCCTTAGTATTCGTCTCTTGAAATTTATAAGTTTTGAAACAAATCCAATTTGGGGTTTTCATTTTCATGCGAATAAAGTTTTTCGTGTGAATATCTTTCTTTTGGTTCCTTATCTATATTGTTTTTGGATAAACGGATATAAGTATCTTTGAAACTTTTTACGTTAATTTATTTTTTGTTGGTCAAATCCAAAATTCAATACTCGTTGTAAATATGGACGCCCTTTACTTCAAAGTTGACCACCTTAAGTTATTATGGTCAGAGTATCGTTCTGCAAACGAAGGTGTCGGCAGAGATTACAGCGATCACTCGGAGTGGGCGCGTGAAAAACTGCAGGTACTGTTTTATTTCTTTTTAAGCCTTTTCATGGTTGCTTTGATCTCAGCTTCTAAGTCATGCTCTGTGTAAAAAAAAAAATTTAGGCAGTATTAACAGAATTTGACAAACTTATTCAAGAACAAATTCTCTGGAAATCTTCTCTTTCGGCTGAAATAGAGGACCTTCTGGTACTTTTAATTTTCATGTATTTAATATGATTTTATCTTTATTGCTAACATGACTAATTTTTTTTTAGGTGGAAATTGAAGAGTGCTGTCAAATATTTGGTCGGAGAGTGGATAACGTTATACCGAAGGCCGCTGCATTGACCGTTGAACTGAATGATTCATCACGTGATGAGCTAAGGTGCATCCGAGACTCTCTACGAGAGGTATGTACCTTAATACTCGGGTTTTCTAGTCGGAGCTTATTGGTTAAGCAGATCTTTACCTTTTTAGGAAATGGCCCTTACCAAATCAAATGTTAAAAAATGGTTGGGTGACCTTACAACTTTTGTCGTTGAATTGGATGATGACTACAAAGTTCCACCAGAAGAAGTAATTAAGATTCTATGTTTATTTTTTTACTTCAAAATAAATCATGTTTATACCTACGTATTAGTATTAATCAGTTAAAATCTGTAGATTTTTGAAAACTATCTTGGTACTTCCGTAGTTGAACCGGTTTGTATATATATGATATAAAATATGAGATCTTGCCTTGAAAATCACATTAAGAATCATATGATTTACTATGTTCATAATGTGATTTTCAAGGCCACATATTATAGATTATGTGTATTACAATATATTTCTAATCTGCAATTATATCTATGCACGTGTATATAGCTGAGATGTAAATATGATGAATTGGCCCGTTTAGTGGTAAGTTTCATCTTAAATTTCAAGTTTCATCAAAGTTTTCATGGCTGATCACACTCTATTATATAGACTGGTCGACGCGACTCATTCGAAGAGTCTGCAGTCAAACTGCATTATTATTGGGATGCGCTTCATCATATTCCCCAAGATGAAGTTGATGATGCATTATACGAATTATTTAATGATAAACAGAATCCAAAAGAAATATTTGAAGCGCTACAGGCTTCACTTGAAAATAAGAAAATAAATAATGATGATGATGATCAGGCTCAACAAGAAATTGTTGATGTACAGCGTGAATATGTATATTATACCCCTCAACTTCCTACCGGACTGAAATTGTCTCCGGAATGTTTAGCCGCTCTCAAAGAAAAAGTAGTCATTCTTGAAAAAGATTATGTAACTCGTAAGAATAAGATGGATGCTATGCAAAAAGATGTAAAGAAACTATATAATGAATTGAATGTTCCTTTGGAAGAAAGAATCGAATTGATCGATTCTCTTGACGAAGAATACTTAGAACGGGTTGGCTTTTACTTTTTAATTAATGTTAATTACTTGTATTTATCAACTATTTAAATTACTTATGGATTATTAATATTTAATTATTTAGCTGTCTTTGGAACACGAACGCCTAAAAGAAATCATGCGTGTGATCATTCAGAAAGCTATCGAAGAGGTATAGAAAGTTTTAAATATGTATTTAAAATATTCTTATCACTTTTTATTAATTTAAAAACTTCTATATCTTTCAGTATACTTCGCAATTGGTTGAACTATGGAATAAATGTCTTGTCCCACAATTTGAACGCGATGAATTCTTTGCCAACGTACATAAACGTAAGTTCGCTTTGAATACATTATACTTATCATTCTGATCATCTATTTAATCTTAGTTAATATTATTCATTTATAGTCAATTCTGCGGAAGAAGTTTATGAACTTCTTGCTCATGAAGTTGCGCGCTTGCAAGAACTTTACGCCAAATGTGCAAATATTTACAGGCTGATGTTAGAGAGACGTGCATTGATTGAGGTAGATAGTGATATTTCAAATTTAATGGCTTTTATTTATTTATTTATTTATTTATTTTAATCGACCAAATATTTCATCAGAAAATGACAGAGTTTGAAAAAACAGCATCAGACCCTCGTCGTCTCTTCCAAAGCTCTTTCCGTTTATTAGAAGAAGAGAAATGGCGAAAATCATGTTGGCCCAATTTGGTCAAAATTGAAGATCAATTAATTAGTGCATGCGTCGAATACGAAGAAAGTAAGCTTCAATGCATTGAATTCAAAAAAAAAATCTTGTAATTTCATTATTTTAATGGCATCTTTTTTTTAGCTGAAAGAAAACCATTTATGCACGAAAGCATGCGATACTTAACCACTCTGGTATATTAAATATTGATAACGTCTAATATTTATATTAATATTTATATTGATTTATTAAAAAATATATATATTTAATTTGTCGATTACAATAGCAATCTGAAATATCCGAGCGTATTGTCAATCAAATGTTCTTTGGTTTTGAAAAGGATACTGCTAAAGGTCAAAATGTCGATCAAAATCGGGCAGCTATTAAACGCAAGGACAGTCAACTCTCGCTTAGAACTTCAGCCAGTAGACCAGTGTCACCAACTGCTATGAATGATATTTATACGTCACGTAGAAATAGTCAATTCATACCAGCATCACGACCTCAAAGCAGGGCAGTATCTCCAGTTGGCAACTCTCGAAGAAATAGTCAATTGATACCATCATCACGACCTCAAAGCAGGGCAGTATCTCCAGTTGGCAACTCTCGAAGAAATAGTCAATTGATACCATCATCACGACCTCAGAGTAGAGCAGTATCTCCAGTTGGTAACTCTCGAAGAAATTCCCGGGCACTTAGTCCTTCAAGGTCACGAGCCCCATCGCGGGCACCATCACGTGCACCATCACGTGCAGGATCACCCGTGAGATCAAACCGTAATAGTTTATACTCGGCAAATTCAAGTGATTCAATAACATCAAAACGCAATAGTTTATATTCAGCAAATTCAAGTGACTCAATAACAACAAAACGCAATAGTTTATATTCAGCAAATTCAAGTGACTCGATAACATCAAAACGCGGTAGTTTATACTCTGCAAAGTCAAGTGATTCAATAACATCAAAACGTAGTAGTTTATACTCGGCAAAAAATGATTCAGTATCATCATTATCAAGCCCAACGCCCAGAACGCCGAGATCAACAAATGGGCTATCCTCAAGTTCTCGTAGATCATCATTATATTTGTCTAGTTTAGATTCTTCTACTACTCAATCTGGAATCAATTCCCACAAGACAAGTAAATCTACAGATAACAAAGGGATTTCATCTCATCGATCATCACTCATTACAGAAAAGGGCAACTCTACGACGCAACGTAGCAACAGTATATCTAGCACGTCAAGTGAATCTTCGTCTAATTCGTCTGTTGCAGCACCAACTACTCCTGAACCATCTTTGACTTCTTCATATGTTGATAATGATAGTAGTCGATTAAAACCTTCTAAGCTTAAGCCGGCTAAGCCGTCTATTCTCTCAAAATTTAAATCTGTTAATGTTTCAAAATCTTGAACTATGGACTATAATATCTAATCAATCATGCATTTATTTTATTTTATTTCACATTAATAAAAAAAAAAATAAAAATGAAATTTTGTATAATGCTTCAAAAAAAAAAAAATTTTTTTCAAAGACATTTCCGAAGATAGGATGTGATGGTACGATGTATGTCTTATCTGAACATGAACAATATCAACATTGAATAATCACTAAAAAAAAAAAAAAAAAAAAAGGGCTTTTGTCAAGTTTTTCTTTTTAATAAAAATTATAATCTTGTTTTCAACCTGATTCTGGTTACGATTATGTGATAATTTGCCAGCAGTTAAAATATCATTACGTATTGGTATATGAGCGATCATGCATGTCGCCTATCATAATAATACAGTACTGAAATTTTTTAACTGTTTACAAATAATGATCTACCCAAGAAGACTACTTTATTCATGACGTCCTTAAACACGCTTCCCACCGCTAACTAGGAATCCCCCCCCATCTAATACTCGGCGACACGGACTAATGCTTGCCTTATTATCCCCTGATTCTTGCCTGCACCGGAGAAACAAAAAAAAAAAAAGCACCATGATTGATCGACAATACATAAATAAAGCACATTGCGGGATTTTAATCTTATTTTTATATTGGATTATATACGTACACATAGTCGACTAGGCAAAATTTTTAGAGAAAGCTAATATAGTTACTTAATCAATTGATGCGAATAACGGACCTGAAACACTATGATACTGACAATGGAAAATCACAATCCAATACAAAAATGTCAAACCAAAATGGACAATGATAATCAAGATAAAAAAATTTCACAATCAAAAGCAAGGTCATTTATTCTTCTACCATCTGCAAATACAAGAACGGCTAAGACAAGGCTAAGAAATGTATTTCTTTGAAGCTTACTGCAGTGATGAAAGAACAAACAACTTAAAAGATGCCAATAGTTATGTACAGTGAATATTGAAGGATATACGTTTTTTTTTTTTCATATTGCCCCAAATTCTGGATATACTATCATAAAAAAAATTTTGTATACTGTTAAAAATTTTGCATATGATTTTCGGGACCCCGTGGTTTGTACCCAGGTATTATTTTGCAGTACATAGTTATGATGCCTGCAGACAAACACTCTATATGTAAAATAATCAATTATATATTGTGAATCTTGGATTAATTTTTTATTTAAAAAAATACACTACAAATATTTGTTAGATAGATATATATATATGTTGCAATTTTTTTTAAATTTTAATTAAATTTTAAGAATTATATATCGATATCTTGTAAAAAAATTATTATTTTTTTTGGCCAATTTCTAGTTTTTTTTTTGTTGTCGTTTATACTGTAAATATATATATTTTTGTGTTAATCGGAAATTACGTACGTACGTACATAGCTAACACTCCATTTACTCATGATAATGCACATGAGCAGTAAAGTTAGCCACAAATACAATGACTATAATATTACATAATAAGACTATTTCAAGAATAGTTGATCCAAAGTGAATTTTACTTGAACAATGAATCAAAGCATAATTTCCAAATTAATACTGTTGATTAAAGTGGTATATACGTAAATTATGTTGATTAATCTGAATAAAGAAGTTCTTTTAACACATTTATTAAGTTATATAGATCTAACTAAATGGAAAACTACTGCCGATTTTATTATCACGTGAAAATCTTGCTAAACTTGAATGATTATTAATAATCAAACAGCATCTTGAGCCTCATTGACGCAGCCAGAGATCCTATATTACGTTAGACTTATTAGACTGCTATCATATCTCTCCCTTCTTGCTTAATCCTGTAAGTATTTTTTTCGTATTGTGCATTATATCAGTATATAAAAAAATTTTCATTCAAAAGATATTATTAAAACAAGCTTGCATTTGAGACTCCGACATTCGTCATTTGAATTAAAGATGCAGATTATATATATTACATGATTAACTTTATTGCAGCTAATACTAAAAATATCCAATTCAATCAGATTCCATTAAAAATAAAATATTTGTAATCCCGTTCGGCTTACATATGGTATTAAAAATTTAAATGAACGTCCTACTGATTTTAATGTGTAATCAGATGAATTTTCTCCCTAATTGAACTCCAGACAATAGTTTTTTACAATATTTAAATTATCTGGCCAAGTTAAAGTTTTTCTTTTATTTCTAAACAATGCAAAGATACTGTTCTTGATGGATCGACAGTATATTGTTACTGATAGACGTACGTACGTACGTATCAGTATGTACAGTACGTGAGTTCTTGATAAGGTTTTAAAAAACTGCATTACTATCGGATTAGTAAAGCCACGGCGTAAAATTTGGCAACCCATTATTGCCTAATCTGATCAATACATAACATAAAATTCAGAAAAAAGAGGAAATAACTCGCATGGCAACTAGTCTTGGATCACTAAGTAAAAGTTTTTACGATTTTTTCTATCCAATCAGAAACAGCATAACAACGAACGATATTTTCGTCTAATTAATATACTTTAGTTAGAATTAAATTTTATTACAACTTTTATATACTATAATTAGGTCATGCAAAAAAGTTAATTAATTGCTTTACTGGAACTTGCAAAATTTGCAACTTCAATACTACTAGTAATTAACTTGTAATTAGCTATAAAGTAACTATATAGCTACTTTATAGTAGCTATAGTTTTACATTTACTTCAGGTTAGCAATACGCCTACTACTGTTTACTAATACGTTACTACTATTTTACTACTATTTTACTATATTTTTATTACAATTTTACAAAAAAGTTTTTGTAAAATTGTAGTAAAAATACTAGTATTAAAAAAAATTTTTAATAAAATTATACAGTAGTAAAAATATAGTAAAATAGTAGTAAAATAGTAGTAACATAGTAGTAAGTAGTAGTAGGCATATTGTTAACCTGAAGTAAATATAAAATTATAGCTACTATAAAGTAGCTATATGGAGTCTTTGCAATAGAAAGGGTGGAAACTATTCCAAAAATGAAAATTGAGTTTTTATTAAATTTGGATAAATTTGATGTAGTTAACATTTTTTGATAATGAAAAATCGAAATAATATAAAAGAAAAGTTGCACAAGATTATATAAGGTAGAGCATATTATAAAATTGCTCAGTAATCACCTGTTATCTTTAACCAATCAAAATTATAAAATTTTGGTTGATCTGGATCAGTTTGAAAATCAAAACAAGTGATTAAACTCAATTATCTCAAAATGAAATATATTTGAATTTCTGCCCTTTCTAATGCAAAGGTTTCATATAGTTATTTTATAACTAATTACAAGTTAATTACTAGTAGTATTGAAGTTGCAAATTTTACAAGTTTCAGTAAAATGGTTTTTATAACTCTGCCAGGTTAACTTTTAATAACTTTAAAAAATTGTTTTTTATTAGATAGTTTTTAAAAATTTTTTTATATAAATTTTTTAAAAAAGCTATTCAGTTAGGTTTATTTAGTAGTTCTATATTGTTATATTAGTAGATTTTTTTTTTTATAATTTAGCAATTCTGCCTTTGTTTATTTGAGATTAAGCTATTCAAGAATTATATATTTCTATCTGTAGCTATTGCTAATCTAATCAAACTAGAGACTCATCCTTGGTTTATGCCTAGGTGTGACCTGCCTCAGTAGTCTTTGGTCTCCCTCTGGATTCTTAACTTACTAAAGATTTGATCCCTTCGGTCACAGGCTGGTGACTACCTACCTTGTCAGTACTGCTATTTAAATCTGTTTTAACTTTACATCTTACCCATGATGATCAATCTGGTTTTCTACCATCTTACACTAGGTTTTCTATATTTTGAATACTACTACTCTTGCATATTCTCTTTTCTTGTTTTTCTGCTCTCCTGCTTGTATTTGATTTTCTTTATTTTTCTCATCATCTTTTTTTTTTTTTTTCATGTTGGCTTTTTTCGTTCTCTTATCCTTCTTCGAGATTCCTTCTCTTTTTTCTTACTCTATTTGTAGCTCACATCTAAAATTCCAGATGTAGTGATAGAATCTTTTACCCTACTTATTAAATACTATACTTATTATTTTGCTAGCTGCCTTTTCGTTTTGGAGCATATTTTCTAGTCTTTGTTTTTGTTCTTTTTTAATTAGACCTCTAATCATATGACTTCTTGCTTCTATCTGTTCTGTGTTAGATGTGCTGAAAATATTTTCTTTTATTATAGCTCTAGTTGGTATTTTTTCGGCGAATTCTTCTTTCTTTATGATTTTCTCTATTTCATTATATATTTCTTCTTCTATTATACTCTATATGCTTTGATAGTCTTTATAGTTTGTTAAATGGTCTATTGTTTCTGATTTTCCTTAGCACGTAATATACTTGTTGGTTTTGTATAGGTTAGGCCTTCTTGACTTGAGCTCTGTTATTGTTAACAATACTTCATTTAAACATTTCACTCTAAATATCTATTTATCATTTGTTTTACTATTTAAACAATTGTTACTCTTTACCTCTTCTATAGATTTTCATGTTTCCTTCTAATCTAAACTATCATCTTTTTTCTCCTCTACCTATCTTTTCATTCTGCTTAATCCTGTCCATTCTGCATCTAGAATCACTGTTGTAATCTAATTTACAAAACTTCTGATAGGCTTATCCACTATTAACCCTTTCCACCTAGATACAACATGTATTAGCTTGGTCCATAGTAGCTATACTTTGATGATCTTGTTCAATCTTGCACCTTCTTTTGCTAGTTTATCTGCCTCTTCATTCACTTCTATTCTGTTATGTCCTTTCACTTTGTATAGTTCAAACTTTAATCACTTTTTCTTTCTTATATATTTTATTTGTCTCAAATTACTTTCGTTTTTCATTTTGAGGTAGCTGTGTATTTTCTTTATTTCCGCTATTTTTTGAACTGCTTGAATTGCTGCTTGGCTGTCTGTATATATCTTTATAGATGCTCCTTCTGACAAGATTAAAAGCATAGTCAGAATTGCATCTAGCTCTGCCCTTGTTGATAAGGACCAGCCTATCATAGCACAATTAAAATCTGCTATCTTCTTTAATGGTCTTTTTTCTTGTATATATAGGATCCACCCTACTCCCATCTTGGTTTCACTTGCTGTTTTTTGCAGTTCTAGTAATGAGCTATTGGTATATGCTTCAAATGTTTTGTATTTTGTATTTTGTAATATCCTCTGCTGCTTCTACTCTATTTATACAGCTTCGTGTTATTTCTTCAATGACAGAACCTATTTTTATCTCTGTACTTGTCTTTTTGCTCTTCTTTTTGCCTCTATTACTGCTTGAGGTTCTCTCATTCTCGCTAAGTTCTCCTATGATACTGTTATCTTATATCTTGTTTGACTATT